GCGTTACTTTTTAAATCTGGACAGGGCTTGCTTGTTTGTTTTTAAAATAAAAAAGTTATATTTTTGGCGAATATAAAAGCCTTTTCACACCAGAAGTGAAATGAATAAGCCTCAATAAGGCTGAAGGGAAAGTACAGTAGAATACAGAAGTAGACATTTCAACACACTTCAGCAATAAACAAACACACACAAATGTTGTCTAGAGTAATTAGTGCTTATTAGTACGCTTGAACTGCATCATCGAAGCTCAGAAGCTAATAGAGTGGGATTAAATACATAAAGCATATTTGTGTTTAACATTTAGTTATTGCAGGTTTGCGTCATATTCTGAGTTGCATGATTTTTATTCATTTTGAGGAATACTGAATCTGTGTTTTTTTTGTGAGTGAGATGAATTAATGCGTATTCATATTTATTTTAGAACTACAGTAACATCTGATTTCTCTCAGCATGGGGACAGGAGAGCCGTCAGTCAATAAATTGGAGAAAAAAAGTAACTTATTTGAAAAAAATATTTCTTTAAATAAACTCAGATATTCTCTTGTAAATTAAAAAGTAATGCGTTACTTTTACTAGTTACTTGAAAAAAGTAATCTGATTACGTAACTCGCGTTACTCCCAACACTGCGAGCATCATGTTTAAACTCATGGTGCTGCATGAGGTGCTACGTTGGTAGAAATTAAGCAAATAGCAGCTTTTCTTTTCTTTTCTTGTCTTGAATAGCAACTAGCTTCTGTTTGTTCTTCCTCCGCTGCCCTCGTAGGTGCAGAAGCCAGCGAACCCGTGGGAGTTTTACATGGACAGCCAGCTGAACGCCCGTCTGCAGCCCAGCGTGCGGCACCTCTTTAACACCATATACTCTGCCCACCTCTTCACCAACGGCAGCGTCCTGATCGGAGAGCTGCACAACTGTGGCACGCTGCTGGTGAGGACCGCCGGTGTGCATAAAACGCTTCACAGCCCATCAGACGAGGGCCACTGTCCTCAAACATGAAGGCCAGTCGTTCCACAGTCTTCATCTCTAGTTTGACTGGCCAGTAGGGCTGTGTGATATATATCGACTGCGATAATATCGTAATTGTTGTTTTAACGATGTGCGATTTGACATTGAGTATTTAGCAAAAAACACCCCTACAGAGTGCACGCATACATCACGTGAAGTCTAGACTAGTGCGAGTGCATTTAGTGTGTGTTCTTTCACTGCATGATTCAGTCTATTAAAATGCATTTAGAAGGATCACAAATTCAAGACATGATGGCAGAAAATGTATATATTTATACCACTTCATATAGTTAATAATCAATTTCACACGAAGAGTGCCGTTTTTCTCCAAATATTACCATGATTACAAATGTGATATTGATTTTTTACAACTGTTAAGCATAAGTTAATCAAGAGACTTACGTTTTAGACAGCATATTGCCTGTTTTTGCTCTATTTCGACAACAAAAATAATTCCAAACACAGCCACAGTGCTGTTCTGCGTCTCTGAGTAACATGACGGTGTTTCGTTCCCGAATGAATCGGCCGTTTAAATGATTCGGTTCAGTCGCAATGACTCGCTTATTAACAGTCACTTGCTGCCACCTGCTGGTGGTTTTAATTTCTTTTATTATTTAAATAATTTCAAATATCAGTATTCAACGTTTTATGATTAATATATCAAAACATTATTTATGCATTTGTAATTGCAGGGTAAATGCATTCATGTCTTGCGTTAAACAGCGTGTAAATACATCTAAATGCCACTTCAGATGCAGATTCTGTGTTGATTTAATTTGCTCGGTAACCGCCCAAATGTCTTATTGTTCTAATTCACTGATTAAATGTAAGAATTTCACTCAAAAGATCATATACATTTCTAGAAAAAATGGCTTTATAAAGGTAAAAAATAAGTTTAAACTTATTGGAAAGGATTAATTTCTCTGTGTGAACTGACCAGCACACAGAATATGAAGAATATCAAAAACTTTAGGAGTCCGCAGTCTTCGGCAGTCCTTAAGGTATGAGCACAATAACACACTCGGCAAAATATCGTCTAATTATCGTTATCGATAAAATCTCCAAAAATATCGAAGTATTATTTTTTGTCAATATCGCACACCCCTACTGGCCAGTAAACAACACCGATTTTTAAACAAAATGGTGTATTCATGTAACCAAAGAGGTTCTGTTTTCAAATTTGACTGCTCGTGAACTTATGTACTGCTTTATGGGATCGTTCACCACAAAATCAGTGAGTACTGTAGAGCAGTGGTTCTCTACCAGGGGGCCTCAAGATGACTTAAAATTATTTTTAAAAAACACACTCAAAACAAGCATTAAAATAAGCTAAACAACCAAAAATCACGATATTACTAATTTTGTTTCATCCTCTAGACAACTGCTTTATTTCTTTTAAGAGCCAGCAGTCTTAAAAACCTGTATATATGAGGAAGCCCGGTTTTTGAATAGACAGTGTGATTTTCTAGAAGTCAGTCCATGTGAGTTTGTCAGTTAGCCACATGCCTGAAGTGTGCTGTGCAGCCGTCCGCCCATGTTAGGACAAACGCAAGCGAATGTAGCTGAACGGTGGTGTTGTGTCGTCCTCCAGAGAGCTATAAACCTGTACAAGAGCCGCAGTGAGAAGGTGATGCCGCAGCCTCTGGTGCTGTACTTCACCGTCTGCATCCTGCACATGGTGGAGCAGCTGCATCAGGCCAGCATCATACACGCCGATATCAAGCCCGACAACTTCCTTTTGGGAGAGAGGTACGTGCTTTCCCAGCATGCACTGCAGGAGTGTGGCGGCCCGGCGGGTGCAGGCTGAATGACGTGTGCTGTCGCTTTTGTTCAGGTTTCTGGAGAATGACTGCTTTGAGCAGGATCACCTAGAGCACGGCTTGGCTCTGATTGACCTCGGGCAGAGCATCGATATGACGCTCTTCCCAGAAGGCACTGCGTTCACTGCCAAATGCATGACTTCAGGCTTCCAGTGTGTGGAGATGCTGAGCGGCCGACCCTGGACCTATCAGGTGAGCATCATTTCAGCAAGCCTGAAACAGATCGACTCCTGTTATGATACTTCACCAGTGCTGGATAGATTTGCAAACTGTAGGCCATTACTGATTGCAGATTACATGATGGAAATTGTAGTTAGTAACGCAGTCTATTAGAGAACTAATTTTAGGTAATGCATTCGGACTACTTTTTGATTACTTTGAGGTTACTTTTGACCTAACTTATTAATCACATAGATATGAATAGGATTATTTTGTACTGTTTTGATATAAAATATTCCATTCTTAGTCAACAAAATGAAATGCATTAAAGGGTCGTGAACTGAGAAATCAAGATTCCTTTGATCTTTTGACATATAAGAGGTCACTGTACTACAAAAACATCCTGTAAGTTTCAGAACTCTAAACTACTGTCTAAAAACGGCTTATACTGAAGCCAATTTCCCAGGTTGTGGAATGTGCTGTTCTATGATGTAATAGTGTGGCTAAACTTCGCCTCCGCAGAAGATGATCAGTGCCTGCTTCTACATCACTGCCTGTTTAGCCCCGCCCACCGATTCTACGTCACTGCCTGTTTAGCCCCGCCCACCGATTCTACGTCACTGCCTGTTTAGCCCCGCCCACCGATTCTACGTCACTGCCTGTTTAGCCCCGCCCACCGATTCTACGTCACTGCCTGTTTAGCCCCGCCCACCGATTCTACGTCACTGCCTGTTTAGCCCCGCCCACCGATTCTACGTCACTGCCTGTTTAGCCCCGCCCACCGATTCTACGTCACTGCCTGTTTAGCCCCGCCCACCGATTCTACGTCACTGCCTGTTTAGCCCCGCCCACCGATTCTACGTCACTGCCTGTTTAGCCCCGCCCACCGATTCTACGTCACTGCCTGTTTAGCCCCGCCCTCCGATTCTACGTCACTGCCTGTTTAGCCCCGCCCACCGATTCTACGTCACTGCCTGTTTAGCCCCGCCCTGCCTGTTTGACCCCCGCCCACCGATTCTACGTCACTGCCTGTTTGGCCCCCGCCCACCGATTCTATGTCCCTGCCTGTTTGGCCCCCGCCCACCGATTCTACGTCCCTGCCTGTTTAGCCCCCGCCCACCGATTAAACTTTTAATGCACACCTGCCAGCCAATCAGAATCAAGTATTCAGGTAGAGCATGGTATAATGTGATTTATGAGATTCACACTGATTTTCTGTCCTGTTGGTGTTGTGCACACTCATGTCTGCCATTCTGTATTTCTGACAGACTGATTATTTTGGCGTTGCGGGGACGGTCTACTGTATGATGTTTGGGACGTACATGCAAGTTAAACAGGAAGGTGGCATTTGGAGAACCAATGGAGTTTTCAAAAGGTAACGTGAAAGCGTGCTGGATCATGTGCCGACTAGTGATGAAGTGCAGTTTTGAGGTGACTGTAATGTTGGTTCTCTCTGTATCAGGAACGTTCACGCTGATCTGTGGCAGGACTTCTTCCACACGCTGCTGAACGTGCCGGACTGCAGCTCTTTGCCGTGTCTGCGCAGCCTCCGCCTGCGATTCGATGCCGTCCTGCAGCAGAATTACAGCAGCAAACTGCGCAGTCTGAAAAACAGGCTGGTGGTGCAGATCCTGGAGGCTCGCTCCTCACGCAGATGATGCTCCTGCTTTCAAAGCTTTGGTCTGCTGTGAACACTGAGGCTTCATTCAGCCGTATTCAAACACTGCCACTTTCTGTAGGTGAGACGCTGTCTGTGTAGAATGATACACACTGCTTTCTTTTTTCCATTGCTACTTCATTTTACTCTGATGATTTTAAATTGTAAAAAAAATAGCCAATGGAGCCTTTTGTAGATTTCAATAAATCGTGGTTCAGAAAACCCCCTTGTGTTTTTTGCAGTTCATCTGTGTCACACTAGATGGCACTGTTGGACAGATAAAGAAGTTCAATTAATTTGATTGAAATTTTTTTTACTATGAGCCTTATTATATACAGTGGGTACGGAAAGTATTCAGACCCCCTTAAATTTTTCACTCTTTGTTATATTGCAGCCATTTGCTAAAATCATTTAAGATCTTTTTTTTTTCCTCATTAATGTACACACAGCACCCCATATTGACAGAAAAACACAGCATTGTTGACATTTTTGCAGATTTATTAAAAAAGAAAAACTGAAATATCACATGGTCCTAAGTATTCAGACCCTTTGCTCAGTATTTAGTAGAAGCACCCTTTTGATCTAATACAGCCATGAGTCTTTTTGGGAAAGATGCAACAAGTTTTTCACACCTGGATTTGGGGATACTCTGCCATTCCTCCTTGCAGATCCTCTCCAGTTCTGTCAGGTTGGATGGTAAACGTTGGTGGACAGCCATTTTTAGGTCTCTCCAGAGATGCTCAATTGGGTTTAAGTCAGGGCTCTGGCTGGGCCATTCAAGAACAGTCACAGAGTTGTTGTGAAGCCACTCCTTCATTATTTTAGCTGTGTGCTTAGGGTCATTGGCTTGTTGGAAGGTAAACCTTCGGCCCAGTCTGAGATCCTGAGCACTCTGGAGAAGGTTTTCGTCCAGGATATCCCAGTACTTGGCCGCATTCATCTTT